AACTCTCTGATAGTTCGAGTCGTAAGTTAGAGGACCCTGGGAACGAGGTTGCTCCTAGCTGTGCTTAAACCATTCTCGTCCAAGGAGCCTCCTGGGAGCCTGAGCACAAGGACCAGGGGGCTCTAGGGTTATTCTAGGGACACAGGATTTGAAGTCCTAGATTTTAGGACTTCCAGTCATTTCTGATTTTCTACAACGTTTCTAATAGCGTTCACTTGCTCTTACCGCAGTGTGAATGACTGTAAAGTTACGTGTTTCAAAGCTTTTAAAAGAGAATCCTCCAACTTATTTTTGAATCGGAAATGACCGGAAGTCCTAATTAATCTAGGACTTGAAATCCTGTGCTCCCAGAGCATCCTGGTCCTCGTGCTCAGGCCCCCAGGAGGCTTTGGGGACGGGGATGTGCGTAAACTCCCTAATCTCGTCCTCTCCCGTCCTGGCTGGTATAAGTCTACCTCAAACCCCTTTAACGACATTAGGGAGTTTAAGATACGGCGACTACGGACTACGGCTACGGATAAATATGCTACTGCGCATGATCAAAACCACGTGACTGTTCATTTCTCCCGCGTAGTCCTGCGGCTACGGTGAGTTGTTGAGCTGTTTCGCGTAGTCGGGACTACGGAGAACATTTTGCTCGTATTTGGCCGTCTCGGTAATTCAAGAATCTCGTCTTTTCGTAAAAACGTTTTCAATTCACCTGCTTTAAGTGAGAGGGAGGCGAAATATGTAAGTTGTGTCTAATTTCTGCTCAGATTTACGCTTTTAATCCACTGTTTTGACTACATTCTTATCCAGCTAAGCTCATGTTTAAATAAGCTTAGCTGTTTATACGCAGAATTCAGATTGACGGCCTAGGAGAAGAGAAATCATGGAGGTAATTTACTTTCTCTTCGCACTTGAAAAGTTTCAATGTTTGTTCGAACTGATTAGTGAGTCTTTGTACTTGTGTAACCTTTATTTATGCGGGTTTTTGTATCGCGCCACTTGCTGAATGAAAATGATGTAAACATGCTCGAGACAATCGAAACTCGGCATTTCAGTACTTCAAACTACATCAGATCAGTAGTCGGAGAAGTCCATCTTCTAAATCTAATAAATGAGCTATTACTATTTCTGTCTATATATTTAATATTTGACATAAGTATTCATGGGCGAAAAAATAAAACCTGTGTAACCAAAACTTTGTTTACCAATTTCACCCGACGTAATTGCTTCCTTCGTATGGAAGAATTTGTTCATTGTTCTAAAGATAAGATCACGTGCAAAACTGACTTGCATTTTTGTGAACTGTGATGAAAACAAGAAAATCTTTGCGTGTTGTTTCCCTCTCTGCCTCTTCTGTCGTAGTCTACTGTCTGAAGTGCAATCTTAACGTTCTATATTTGCACGACTCAACCCAGGGCTACGAACAAAGGACAACGCTCGTCCAGCCGTAGTTCGTAGTCCGTAGTCTCCGTATCTTAAACTCCCTATTGTATGAGCTCAAGACAACTTAACGTGGGATCAGGCTCGGGTCTGTGGTAGGGAAAAAAAGGCAAAAAA